ACCATTCTGGCGTGTTCTCAGTTCTTTAGGAACGTCATGACACTTCATAAATCCCAGTAGCCTGGAGATGCATGACTACAGGATAATCTAGGATTTTAGTCTTGAACAGGTAAGAGCCTCTGCACCTCCACATTTGAAGGGAAGAGAAATTGCAATCTTGTTACATTCTATACACAAACATAAGGAGCCAATCTCAAAATATGACAGATGTAGGAAGGTCAAGGAAGAGAAGGGTTGTTGGTTTAAAAGAATGAGCTTAAACTGCCACAGAATCAGAGCAACTCACTAACATCACATGTTGCAGTCTCACAGGTCTTCAGGGGCTTTGCAACTTTCCATCAATGGCCTCAATTAAAATGGAACATCTGCCTTTAAATTTCTCTCTGGGATATGTGGTAGATTTGGTTTCTTAAACCACACCACAGCTTTCTACATATGCTGGGAGGATATTGCAGGCATGTATTACTGGTTAGACACACGTGGTGCGTGAAAGGACAGAAGCTTCTGCATACCCGCTACTGAGAGCAGAACTGATCCAAACTATGCAAGGGACCTAAGGCAGCCAACATTTTTGCCATTCAAAGTGATCCCGAGCATCTGCTACACTGCTAAACATATCCTGGGCCCCTCTTTGCAGCAAAATGCAGGGATTTGCAGCAATGTCTACCCATGCCTTGCAACAGTTTAGCCATATGTGGCACAGCATAGGGCAACACTACAGTCAAGCACAACACTATTTGGCTACAAAGCGTCCAAGGTTAGCAACTGCAGACATCTGAACCGCGTTTTACAGCCTATGCTGTGCAAAGCAGCATCAACACAATGAAACCTTTAGATGTCGAACTCCTAAAGCAAAAACTGACATTGAGGTAAGCACAAGAAACTGGGCATCACAGGCTTAGCAAAGCATTGAATGCAGCTTCCACAGGTGCCAACAATGCAGCTTAGAACAAAAGTCACTGAGAGCTTCTGGAGCTGAGCACTAGCTAAAAAGGGCTCAGTGAGACTCTGTTGTTCAAGAAACTGGTGTTTCTGCACTAGTATGCAAGTGGAGTTAAAAAATAGACATATGAATGCATCACACACTTTTCCTATGAGAAAAGCTTCTCGTCCTTTCTTTTTTTATTGAGTTAAAATAGGTAAGAGTGACATAGTTCCACTTCCTGACCCCTTATAATTTACCCTTTTCAGCAGTCTGATTTTTAAATCCAAAATTCACATGGAAAAAAAAAATAAAATGTTTCTTTTTAACACCCAAAACTGCGCAGACTTAATTATCAGCATGGGCTTTGGGCAAAGCCCCAACCAAACCACAGATTCATTCCCTAGTGCACAGTAACAGCAGCACTGCAGCTGACACTGTTCATTCAATGACAGGTGACATGGAAACTGGACGTGGGACCACCACTGCAAAGGGCAGGGCAGCCAGGCTGCACAGCTGCAACTCCCTCAGGTGAATTCTACAAACTTCCCGATTTTGTTTGACTCGGCACTAAATAGATCAAGCCAGCAAGGAAAATATGACCCATCTCTTAGAAAGCTTACACTCCCATTATTTGTCAGACTTGGATATTGGTCATCACAACGGCATAATTATCTTCTCTTTAAAGACGTTCTTCTCGCTTTAAAGGCTCTTTTTTACTTTCCTCTCTTTAAATTCACGTTGACTTCTAATTATTTTCATACACGCACACCATCAATATAAACAGTCACTATTTAGAATTTAAAAAGTTAAATTCTACGTTATCAGAAAAGACTTTTGAGATCAGAAGAGCGCGGCTGAGCAAGGAGCAGGGATGCTCGGTATTTCAAAACTTAAATATTTGCTTTATACTGTTGATGCTCAACACACCAACTACCAAAAGTGCACGCCAGCTATTAGACTCTAATATTCCTGATAGCAGTACACTGCTGCAAGGCGGTGCGTGGTACGGAAATGAAACTTCTCCTTATTTGGCAGAAATGCGCTGAACCGCGGCGAGCGCACACACGAACACACATACAAACACACACACACACACACACACACACACACACACACACAAACACACAAACACACAAACAAACACACACACACACACACACACACACACACCTGACACCCACCGCGCCGATCTGTCTCCTCGCAGGCACTGA